AGTCATTTTAATGAAAAGGAAAAAAATGTCACCAGCTCATCCATGTTTCTTTGAAATAAACTGAGAATAGTTTGATGCTGCTGATGCGTTAAAAGACTAAATAAAACCAACATCAAAGCATAACTTCACAAAAAGCCTTTAACTTTGCAGTGGCGCTCTCCAGAGGGGGACCAACGGGGCCCACGGCCCTCCTGGAAAATCCTGGACTTTATTGTATTGATTGGATGAAACTTTTGACTCAAATTGAAGAAGTTGATGCAATCTCGACTTCCTTAGATGGGTTGCTTTAATCACTTAAGCTACTAATGAAGTCATACTGCATTGTTTTGTAATTTGTGTTCATTATATGTGTTCATTATTATGATTCAAACATGACTACACTGAAAAAAGCTAAATTTAATAAAAAATATTGATTTATTTTTGTTAAATATGACACTTAAATAACTTAATTGGATGAACTTAATTTGATAATTTGTAACTCAATGTTTTTAAGTTGGATCAACTGTTTTCCTTTTTCAGTGTCGATGACTGAATTGTATTAAAACAAAGTAAGCTGATTTAAACTGGATCACATGCTGCTTTTTGTAAACTAATACTAGTAATTAAGTATTGATACTGGAGAGTGTTTTCGGATTCGTGGGTGGAGACGCTTCTGAGAACATTTCATTTCAGTCCTCGTTGCTGTGGTAAACTCTGCCTCTGGTTTTGTCTTTGGGGACAGTTTGATGTCGTGACTCATACTGGGAATCATCTCTCACTTTGAAATGGGATGTTTTGCCAACCACCAGACACACCTGCAACTGTCGCATTACTTTTGTGAAGAATTAGTTGAGGCAGTTCCAAAACATTGTGCAACTCGCTGTTTAGTTTGCCACAAATATTGGCAGACATATTTATTTTTGAAGGAAAGGAATTTGAAGAAAGAATGAGGAACCGGTTTTACATTTGTTTGCGTAGCAGCAAAACTTCCAGCAGATTGTTTTTGAACATGCCGCTTATTTCTGAGACCAAAACTGTCATTAAATCTGTGAAGCATCCTAAGTTTGCATAGTGCATGTATGTTGGAATGAAGGATGTAAATGTTTTGGTTTTTTCCCACATATTTATTGATCTCCAGACCATTTTGAGCTGAGAGTTCAAAGCTCTGTACACAATCTATGAGCTCCTGCAAGTGCGCAAAGTATTAAAAATATACATAACTCCTACAAAGGCAGTTTGGCTGAATTTTAAAAATATTTACTACTCCGCAAGGGTCCATCAGGTACAACAGTGTAGAAACATAAAAATAAGAATAGTGAAGATCCACCTAAAAGTCAAAAAAAGAGAGAGAACATTTTTGAGGTTAAAAAGTTTAAATTTTGCTACAAAAACTGAAATTTTGAGGTTAATCAGAATTTTTCTAGAAAAAAAACTTGGAAATTTCAGAGTTTGAAAAGAAAAAATTGCTAGAAAAAAAAACAATTTTAGATTAATCACAAGAATTATCTTTTTAAGAGTTTCAAACTTTTTGACTTTTGGAAATTTTCTGAATTTCAAATAAAAATTTTAATTTTGACTCAGAAATTTCCACACGTTTTTCTAGAAAATTTTAGTTTTTCAAGCAAATTTTTGACTTCACTCTCAGAAATTAACTTTTTTTTTTTCTTAGAAATAAACAGATTTTTCACACTTTAACCTTTTTTTAATGTCTTAAAATATCAAAACCAGTAGGTTAAATTCTGACTCAAAACATCATAAATCATGCATGAAAACACCCAGTAAGTTTGGTTTAAACATGAAAACTTTGTGTGCTTGTGGATCTCTCTCGTCACACCGGTTCAGTTGGAGGCCAGAACGTTCAGAAACTCTTAAATCTCACGCCTCTAACTTTTCTTCCCATTAGTCATAAATTCTTCTTCTTAGATTTGTTCTGATTCTGGGAACATTGATTTCATTCGTCGTATCTGATAATGGTGCGAATCAGAACAGCCTGAGATTGTGACGGAAAGTACTTCACCGCCTGAAAATTTAGTTGTCATCAAACACTGGATGCATCCAGTCGTAACAGCCTGCAGGTATTTTGTCAAAACGATCACATATTTTTGTCAAAGCATCTTTCCTGGAAGGAATGCATTAGTAGAGAAAAATGTGCTTTAGCTTGCTTCATTCGCAGGAAAACCCCTGTTTTATGTAAATATGCAGCAGCAGACGTCACGTAAAGGCTCTAAAACTTTTCCAGAGATAAGAAAGAAGTAAAAAAGCATCACCTTTAGTAAATAAGCCCTGACCTGAATGTAAAGAAAGTTTTCCCGTTTGTTCCTTCAGGGCCCTGTGTCTCCATATTTACCTACTCTGATTAGAAATTCTGATGAGTTAAGTGGAGGACAAACAAAATAATCTGATAAGATTATCTGATCAAAAGGTTGGTATGTTTATGTTTCAGAAATTTTCTTGATAAAATCATGAAAGGATATTCACAAATGTGATTAATTATATTTAATTAAACTTGATCTGAACTTTTCCAATATGTTTTTCAGATAATTAATAAATGTAAGTAAGTTGCAACATTTAATTAGTCATTTTCTTATTATTTTAAGTTCAAGTAAAAATATTTTTTACGCATCTGTTTGAAAATGATTGTGATTTGAAATGCGGGGCAGCAGCACCCTCTGGTGGTGGCAGAAGGAAGTGCAACATAACGGTAATCAGGGGAAACAAGCTTTATATTGCTCTTCAGAAATAAACTGGGGGAAATAGATTAAATAAAATAATTTGAGCTTTAGCATGGTTAAAATTAGGCAGAAACTTAAAACAACTGATTTTACTGTTTTCAGACTAGTTTGATGTAATATTTTCTTTTATGGCTCTTTCAGTTATATTCTGTTGTACATAAATAGTGTGAATAGTTACTTAAAATTAGTTGTTAAACTAGACGTGTTCTTCAACCTAGTGGTTTTTAAACATGTCAGAATAAAATGTAACATTCTGGATGTAAAGGAGTAAATAAATAGCATTTGATGCTAAACTCAGGGAATTATGAAGAATTTCAAATGTTTTTGTTTGCTAAAGCAACTCAAGGGGGCGCCATATTAGAGGGGGCGTCAAAATAGTTCTGGAATAATTATTTCTAGTCTGCATTTTCTGTATTTGACAGCTTTTTGTGCATTAAAAAGCCCAGAAACAACCAACCAGTCAGAGCGTCTTAGTGCTGTCAATCAATCTCATGTACATGCTGCTCAGTGAGCTAATGGCAGAGAAACAAAACTGTTCACAATAGCCTCTGGGAAAGCATAGCGTAGCAGCACACACAAACATAATTGACAGCGCTAAGACCTGCCTCCTGGCTCTGATTGGTTGTTTCTGATTCAGCTGTGTATTTCTTTAGTTGGCACTGGGAGCACTGGGAGAATGCAGAGAAAGCTTCTCAAAGATTACCTGCCTCATACTACACTGTCATGACAAGGTGGCAGTTTTAACGAAAATGTAAAATAAATAAAAGTTACAAGTCCAGCTTTAATAATCAACATAAAGACGTACTTATCAAATCTCATCCTTTGGAGAATCCTCATTATTTTTCATATCTTTAAGACTTTAATGTCAGTGCTAATCTTTGGTTGGTAACTTTATGTTTCTTATAGGAACAAGTTGACTGGCAGGTTTCAGTTGTTTCAATTTTAATAATTTAATAACTTTAGTAAGTTGAACTATTAGATCTCATCTATATATTGAGTCAATTCTAAGCTTTCTGGCTCCGCCTAGTGGCCGTTTACTTTACTGCTCATAGACATTAAAAAAAACCCTCTTAACAAATTTTTTTTAATGTTTTATTTTTTCAGTAAGTAACCAGCATCATAGAAAACCCAAATATATATGTGTATATATACGTACATAAAAATATAGAATAAAACATTTAAAAAAAGCAGAAATCCCATTTGAAATGAAAAAGCAATGTCTGGTTCAAGTGCGCTGAGTGGAAGAAAGTTTGTAACAGTCACAAATTTCAACCTGTTGAAACTCCAGGTCAGTTTTTATAGCAACCGAATATAAAACAGCTGACAGTGAAAATAATATATATTAAAAAAAAAGCTAGTAGATGAAACTATAAGCAGCATTTTGTTTACAAATAAGCACTTAGATATTTGCAGTTTTACCCCGAAAGCAGCAGCAATATCAAACAGTAACAGACTCCATGTTTCCCACTCAAACATTAAAAGGTTTTGAAAACAATATTTTCAGAGAAAAGTGGAAAAAAGTTAAAAACTGAACAAACATAGTTGTGTCAGATCACAACTTTGTTATTGTAAAAAAACCTACAAAGACCTGATAGGAGTTATTAAAAATGCTTCTGGTTTTATTTCTCTCTGAAGAAGATTCATAATGTAACCTCACCGGTGTCATTTCTTAAAACTGAAATTGAACCGTTGTTATATTATGAATTATTTTAAAAAATGATTTTACTAACAAAAACTAATTTTTAAAATTTACAGAAAGCATTAAAAAGCGTCAGTATTTCTACATTTTTCCATTATTTTGTAGCCTTTTCTCTGTCAGAGTGGACACATAATGTTTAAGTCAGTCAAAACAACAACACTGCCCTTAAAGCTGCAGTACGTAACTCTTATAAAAAATATTTATTATATTTGTTGAAACTGTCACCATGTCGAGACAGTAAAAAATTAAACGGATAATCTGAAAAAACATCAATTTCCTCTGCCTTCTTAAACAACCAATTAGAGCCAAGAGGCGGGTCTTAGCGCTGTCAATCAGGCTTGTGTACGCCCTGTAGTTAGCATAGCCACCAACGATGGATTTCTGTAACGGTGAGTTATTTCTCCACCATTTGCACATTTAGCACATTGACGAGATTGATTGACAGCACTAAGACCCGCCTCCTGGCTCTGATTGGTGTTTTTTGTGCATTTCTTAAGACAGCAGTAGAAGTTCAGGGAAGAGGTGGAGGTTGTCAATCTTTTCACAGATCATCTGTCTCATCCTACCAGGACATGGTGACAGTTTTAACAAACTTTTTTTTATTTTTAGATAAAAGTTACGCGCTGCAGCTTTAATGTCAGTTTTTGTTTGATGGGGAACCTGAAGGTTCTCCATGTTGGACCAGGAACATCTGCAGAAGCTTCTCTCCATCTTAGACCTGCAGATTATCTGCAGGTCATCCTGTTTTCCCTCTTTTCTGTGATTGAGCCATGTTAGTTTGGCTTAGTGTGATCTTTTCTTCTAAACTCTGGTTTAGATGTTCAGGCCGTCGTGCCTCATGGCGTCGTATTTGGACCTCGATCCTTTCCGGCTGTGTTCGTGCTCCCTGTCACTTCCTCTCCTCCTCTGCCTCCTCTCCTCCTCCTCTTGCTGCTGGTCTCCAGCAGCTCTCTCGAAGCGCCTCCGGGCGCTCTCCACTCTGCTGCTCCGCTCTTCGTTCTCCCTAACATGGTGGCTCGTCTTCCTCTCCCTCAGAGACTCTTCGTCTCTGTGGCTTCGATGCGAGTCTTTTCTTCCGGTCTCCTCCTCTCCTCTCCTCCTCCAGCTCTCTCTTTGACTTCCTCTCTCCTCCCTCCTTTCTCGTGTCTCATGTTTTTCTCCGTCTTTCTCGCTCCGGCTGCTGTGTCTCCTCGACGTCTCAGTTCTCCTCTGGGGTTTCTCCTCCCCTGCATGTTGGATCGTTGCTTCTTTCTGCTGATTTTCAGGCTTCGTTTTGATTTCTGGGGTTTTATTCGGTTCTTCTTTAGACTTTTCAGGTTTTTTCTCTGGTTTCTTTCCAGGCGACTTTTGGTTCCCAGTTTCTTTCTCTTTCTTGCTTTCCTTCTCAAATTGTTCTTTTAAAACGTCTTTTTCTGTTTTCACACTCATTTCATTTACCTTCTTCTTCTTCTCAGATTTGGATTCAGATATTTTCTCACCTTTGTCTTTTTCCTCCACATCTTTTTCCTTCTCGATCTTCTCTTCCTTTTTCTCTTTCTTCATTTTAAAAATGTCCAACACCGATTCTTTGATCTTCTTTGGCTCCTCGTCGCCCTTTTCCTCCTCCATTTCTCCTGTTTTCTCCACACTCTTCTCTTCCTTTTTCTCTTTCTTTATTTTAAAAATGTCCAACACCGATTCTTTGCTCTTCTTTGGCTCCTCGTCGCCCTTTTCCTCCTCCATTTCTCCTGT